TGGGCAACAAATAGATGAATCACAGATAACTTCCCTAGAAGAAAAACCTGAACAACCAAAAAGAGGGCACATTGTATGGCCAATTTATGTGAAACTCTTATAACTGCAAATGAATCTGTAATTAGAAAGTAGAGTAGTAATAGCCTGGGTACAGTAATGAAGGATGGCCTAGGGATATTAGAAAACTTTGAGGGTGATGATCTATTCATTGTTAACAGTGGTTCATTGTCTTCCCTATAGTGATGGCTTTGTAGGTACCCACTTATGTCAGAACCTGTCAAACTATATACTTTAAATATGTGCAATTCATGTTATGTCAGTTCTGCTGAAATTAGGCTGTTCTTTTTTTAAAAAGAAGAATGCTTTAGTCAATATCATGAAAGTTTCTATATTTTCTGCTTTATAACCATAGTGTATAAAATGTATAAGAGGAAGAATATAAACTGGGTGATGGTGGCATTTGCCTTTGACCCTAGTACTCAGGAGGCAGAGGTAAGCAGGTCTCTGTGAATTCAAGGCCAGCCTGGTCTACAAAGAGAGTTCCAGGACATCCATGGTTCCATACAGAGAAATCCTGTCTTGAAAAAACAAAACAAAACAAAACAAAAAGTGTAGAAAAGTAAATTCTCATATTCAATTATGATTTCTAATGCCCCAAACTGAGTATCACAATTAATCCTTCTGAATAACAAATTGCCCCAATTGTAGAAACATAAAGTGGTCCTATGCTGTGTCATGGTGTTATTAGCAATTAGGGTACAGTGCTTCATGACATTCAGGATCTGGATACACTGTGGCTCCTTTATCACTTGCCTCTATGTGCTCTCCAGGTAGATGATAGCCAGAGACTTCTGATGAATCATTTCTAGACTCCCAAGGGAGGTCCAGGAGAAAGCTGGGTCCCAAAAGCTCACATTCACTTCATTATTTCTGTTTGAAGCTGGTAAAAAGATTTGTCCAGGTTTAAGGTGAAAGAATGTAAACCCTCACATCAGTGGATCATCCTCAACACATTTCTCAACAATGGAAGAAAAACACATGAGGAGAAATATGTAATGACATAGTCTATTTGTTTGTTTGCTTATCTGAATATGCGTCTATCTATTATATAACCATGGCTATCTTAGAATTCACCAGGCTGGTCTAGAACTCACAGAGATCCTCCCGCTTCCATCTCCCAAGTGCTAGTATTAAAGGTGTGTTCTACCCTGTCTAGCAGATGTAGCCAAATTTAAATTTTTAATGTGTCACACAGTGTCTGTGTCATCTAACTGAATCAATGAGCATCAGTTGTTTGGACTTTGCTGTTTCATGAGTACTCATCCTACAGAAAGTTCATCTTTTTTTTTTCTTACAATATGGATCCAAGGAAGAACACATTATCACACATGGTAATGAGTGTATAATTTAATAAGATAAATATAGGAGAAACAATGGATAAGGGCCACACATTATCTATGATGTTATATTTGTGTGTGTAGGATGTGGGTGTAGGGTGTGTGATTGAGTGTACCTCTGGGCACACAGAAAGGCCACAGGAGGATTTTGAGTGTTCTTCCCTGTCACTCCCAGCCATGTTTGATTAAAACATGGTCTCTTACACTATCTGCAGCTAGGCTAGAATCAAGCAAGCCCCAGAGATCCTCTTGTCTCTACACTGCACAGTACTGGTGTTGTAGGTGCTCATGGCCATTCCTGGATTTTTATATGGGTTCTGAGCATAAGAGCTAAGGTCCTCATGTGTCCAGCAAAGGTTCTCACCTTGTGAGTCAGGTCTCTAGTCCCTAAACTCTATTTCAACATGAAATTTTAGAGCCAGGAATAAACTCAGAGATCCTTTAAATAATGTATTAAGGATAATAGCCCTGTTTATTGCATCTCTAAAAGTTCATATGAGATTACAGATACTTGCACTGATATTCTATGTGGAGGAGATTCTGGGAGTCAGTTCAGTGGGAATAATTTCATTGGCAAAATAATTTGTGATGAAAAATGAAAAGTATGTTTGCATACATGTTAAACCTACAGCATTGCCTTCATATTATTTACAAAACACTAGCTCTGTCTATTATTTTTATGCACTGGTAGATTTTGGCACTTCTGTGATTTCCTTTGGTATGTGATTTGCTGTGTCTACTAATCCTGAAGAAATAAATCCACAGTAAATAAACAGACTGACATTTGTCCAACAAGAATACATACACTGAAGTCTTAGTACATTGGTATTTGTTACAAAAACAGGAAAGGAAAGATGAGAAATCCATTCCTTACCAAACATTCTAATTAGCTCCCCCCCCCCAACACACACACACCTGTTAATCTCTTAATAAATTTACCAAAAAGAGCTAAGTCCAGCCTTCAGACCTAGGAACACTTCCATCAAAGATGGGCTGCTAATCATGAAGTAAGGAGAAGAAAAGCCATTTGTTTTTTTCTGTGCCTCTGCCATGTCCTACCAGGCCTGCCTGAGCATCCGCAGAGTTCAGTGGTAATTAAAGCAACAGTGTTGTGAGAAAAGTGTGAATTACTTTTACAGGGAGCCTTGGATGTTGCTCCTGACTGACAAAGCACAGCGGGGTGCCTCTGCTGGGTATTAAAGAGTGACAGTAGTCCCCCACAGAAGGTGGCTTCCCAGCACAATGCAAAATTGTGACTTTTCACAAGATGGTATCTCTGCCACCATCTAAGTTATCAGCTCAAATTTTTATTTTTTTGTTTTGGCATGTCTATGAGCAAGATTATTTCACAATCAGGAAATATGTTCTGGTGGCTGGAATTGTGGAATGCTAAGCTGTATGTTCTGTCTTTCTTTTCCCTGGATTTTTTCTTTTACTCCATTATGGAATTATTTCAACCTTGAAGGTTACTGAAAATAGTAAGGGAAAAGCAAGAAAGGGGTCACACACTTAACTCTCCTAGCAAAGTATTCTGATGTTAAGTGTCAAGGCTATTTTTATTATTTTCATTAAAAAAAAAATTCTTGTGTGAGCACACACATGTGACATGGAACATGTATGGAAGCCAAAGAATAACTAGTGAGGGTTGTTTTTCTCCTTACACTATGTGGGTCTCAGAGCTTAATGTCAAGTCATAGAGTTTAGCAGCAAGTGCTTTTACCCTGGGAAGCATCTCACCCACCCTTTTCTATCAGTTTTTGTAGGAAGTGATGACGCTGTTGACAATACTTAACATACACAGCTTTATGCTCTCAGGATAGAAGCATCCACATACATGGCCTCTGCCCAACCCAATCAGGATATGGTCAGAAACCATCAGATGTTGCTCTATGTGCTGGAGCCTCTTTTTGAGCCAGCTCCCACACAGATGTGACATGCTGTTGATTTTGCTCCTTATGTAACAAGGGGAGGAGAAAACGTCATTAGCCAAATCTAATAAAGTACCTTCTGCTGAAGGAAGAGAGTAAAATAGCTAAATGGACTATTAATCACGTTTCCTTTCATAAGCTAGCAACACTGTGAGAATTCCTGAGTCGGCTTCACAGAGCACGTGTGGAAGTCTATGGAAAGGTATCCGGTATAAGAGCCCAAAATTGTGGTGAGTTAGATGGTAGAAAAGAAGTAACGGACTGATAATACGCATGTCTACTTTATTGCTTAACACATGGACCATGAGTAAATGGACAAAATGTAACCCCTACGCAATGTAAACAGAGGAATAGTGTGTGAATCTGTGGGCTTGGCAAAGCCAAAACCATGGGACACTGTAGGTAAAGGCGGTGGCTGTAAATTTGGACAACAGAGTCCCCATGTCCACATTCATGAACTGTGCAACTCCTCCAATTTCCTCGGGAACAAAAATGTTATAAAACATATCCTTATATTCATTTGAAGACCAGGCAAATTTAAAATGTAAAGAATGCTTTCAGCAAAATGTCTTGCATTTAGGATGTAGTTGACAAGCCTACTTGCCATTGTTGCCATCAAACTAGGTGCTATGACAAAGCATGTGACTCACAGTATTTTCTTTATTGTTAGATATTCTGAGTATCTAACAATGAGCAGCGGGGGAGTATTTTTTAAGTAGAAGGTTATGAAATGGCATTTAGGAGATGAGGCTGCAAAATGCCAGACAATGGATGGTTTCAATAGACAACAGTCATATGAACACAACCACTGGGGTGCTCCAAATGACACTCTTTCACCCTACTAGTACAAAGTTTAATTAGTATGTAAATAGCATACCCGTTTACAATTGACATAATGCCATCTCTTCTCAGGCCAAGCTGTCAGGGCCCATGAAACTGTAAAATTCCTGACACTAAACATTTGTTGTAAACTGATCCTTCCAAAAGTAACTTAACTGAAACTGAAAAGGCAAGAAAGGTAGAAAATACTTAAAAATAATAACAAACAGCCACTTCTCAAGTCTTTCAGAGAAAAGGGCCCAAACTGCTTTGGGGGAAAGAGTCACCATATTTTATTAGGCTAAGGGTACATTCTGTACAAGAGGGAAAAAAGCATGAACCACCAACCCCAGAGTGATGAAAAGCAAAATGGTTAAGAAAAAAAAATGCCCTCAACTGACACAGCTATTTTCATCCCATCAAATCAGCCATCTGTTCTTGACACAGTTTATTATCATTAGGAAGACTTTCTGAATTCAGACATGGTGATGAGGAAAGATGAAGAATTAACAGATAAATAAGCAATTTGGAAAATTCAGGCTAAGACCCTTTTCCTCAATTTCCACTCTGTCCTTCCTCTCTGTCCCAATTATCCCAAGCAAAGCTTCAGTGATATGAGTGGGCATCTTTATTGTGTTGTTTTCTCTCCCTTGCATAAGCACATCAAACCACACACAGTAGGCTTGTACCAAATGATACAAAGGTGATCAATATGAACAAAAAAGAAATAAATTTCTAATGTTGAAAATGAGTGCATAAACTAAGACTGACATGGGGACACAGGGAAAGGTCAGGGAATTAAATATGAATTTAAAGATACTGATGCTTTTCTTCTGGGATTCATTCATGCATTTACCTCGGGACAGGAATGTTTAGAGAAGAGATCCTCTGAAATCACCATGGAATACCTCCGACAGCCCTGTGTGGGATAACAGAGAGAGACAAAGTAAATGTCGAAAACTAATAATAAAGGGAAAATATTGAAGTCATATGATTGCCAATAAATTCATAAAGTGAAGCTGGAAATTCACAAAAGTTAAGCTCATAAGTTCTAGAAAAAAAAAACAGTTAAAATAAAACTCTTGACAAATAGCAACAGACCTACTCAGAAATTATCTAAGCTGGTTCTTTTATCTACTTAATGTCAAAAAAAGTTTGATTCTTCCTCAAATAGTTCAAAGATTTAATGATGTTAGATTTATAATATTCTAGCACATAGATTTTGAATCAAGCTTGAGATAATACTTTTTAACTGCAAACATAAAATGCTAAGAACAGTAACCCTTAAAGTTAAGCCCTGAAGATCTCTTCCCCAAACTTCTTGTGTCCTAACACTCAGAGAAGCCATGGTGGTTCACACCTGTATTCCCCATTCTGGAGAAGATAAGGACAGAAGAGTACCATGACTATAGAATGAGACTCTAAACAAATAAATAAACAAACAAGCTAATATCTAGAATATGTTGTTGCGTTTATCTTTTCGTTGGTTACGTTTTAATAATCTTTTATTTTGATTGTTAGTAATTGCTAAGGATACTTTTTATACCTCCTCTCTTTGCAGCCTTGGTGCTGCATCATTCTGCAGGTGACATTCCCCATTCTCACTTTCATCTATCTGTCCTTTGCCTCTTGCTTCCTTAGTACATCCTTTGTTTCCTTTGTTGCTACAGCAAAGCAAAAATACCTTCAAAGTCATCCTACCATAACACAGATCACCTTAACTAACGGATGTTAAAAAGGTTCTGTGCTAGACCCTGGGCTTCACAGTGAGCTTTCCACACATGGTCCTTGACTTTCTGTATCAGAAAACAAACAAACAAACCAAAAAGCAAAAAACCAAAACAACCTTCGATCAAATCCAGCTTTACATCTGTGTGTAGACTTCTGTAATTAGATTTTGGTAGAACACAGACCTCCAATATATTTGCATATTGTGTATAACTTAAACAATAATGAAAAAGTTAAGTAGCTTAAAATATTTTCTTCCTGGCTCTTTATAGAGAATACTGATGGACTTTGGGTTCTCCAACTGTTTCAGTTGTCTCTTCTTGGCTTAACAAATATGCTATTGATTCCTTGTGGTCTCAGTGATTCTATCCACAAAAATAGTAACTATTAGAATTTTGACCAGTTTCTAATCTGCCTGTTTAGCTTAATCTCAATTTTTCTCTCTCTCACTCTCTCTCACTTTCTCTCTCTCTCTCTCTCTCTCTCTCTCTCTCTCTCTC